TTCTCAAGTATCAATTATATTATTTTGACAGTTATATTGCAAACAACATTACTGCACGTGGCAGAATGATCATTTATTTAGAAACAACTGCAAAACAACTATCTTCCAACAGTGCAAACCAACCAGCTAGCCAGCTTATCCGGATCAGCTGCTGCTCAACAGTTTTTCTGCGGCAGCTGCTTATCATTAGCTTATTAATAAGATACAACTGCCCCAAACAAACCCCTAATCTCTACCAATTGCTCATGAAATTCGAAGTCTCAACTTAGCTCCATGTGGCTCCCAAAACTTCTTTTTTATATCCTCCAACTAACTATTAACCTTCAAAATCTACATGCATATTAATGCTATTCTACTTAAGCTTACCCGAACTCCTACTCTCACACCCATGCAAAAAGGGTAACATTAGAAAAAAAGAAAATTTTGATTAGATTTTCCAAATCAACTATAAATCTCTTGCAAGTCACTTTACCTTCTACAGGCAAAAAAAAGGTGCTCAAGGGATTTACATCATTTTCTTAATGACTTAAAAAAATGAATATCAAGTTGGTTAGTTGTCTAAGTTTTGCTAATACAATCTACGATTAGATATAGCATGTGAATACATAAAAATCACAATCTATATATTACGAACTCTTGACTAGCAAAAATTGGTCTCTTTTAATATAAAAATAATAATTAATAACGACACTTTAATATAACAAAATAGTTTAATAATAGCCTAAATATGAAATTCTACAAAAAAAAATTGTGGATACCTATAAAATTTTAGTAACAATCAACATTCATAACACAGATGAATCTAGCACATTGCATTTAACAAAATTGTAATCACACATACATGCTAGTTATTAAATAAATTAATAGTAAGGATAAGTATATAAATCATTTAAAGGAAGTTCTTGGTTTCACGTTAGTACAAAGAGATTTGCTCTCAAAAATAGTCTTTGATTACTTGCACATGCTCAAAGAATACACAGCAAGTCAACATGTACAAACATTGAGAAAAAGAAAATTTTATTTCGATAAACAAATGTTCAATGATTTTTTATGTCTCACCGCTCCTCTTTATATCCCTTGAGAGATCCATCTTAAGAAATTGTTGAAAATCCACCTAGATCTTATAGAAAATAACTTACAATTCTCCTAATACATAAACAATAAGAATAACTTATATTTTCATAATTTTTCCTGCATATATCCATTAAAGGAAGAATATAAGAGGTGAAAATTAACGTTTTGTGGCAATGGATGGATTTCCATGGTAATTTATGTGACTGTAGTGGCAATAAATTTCCAAAATGATTTCTGGGACTATAACAAATTAACAATGGCAAAGATATATAAGATTGTTGTGATTAATAGATATAGGATTGGAAGTTTTGATATTGTAATACACAATGGTAGAAGTTACCGCCGTTAAGTCTTAGGATTATAACATAATAACAATAATAAAATCATCTTTGCTTGTAGTGTCTATTACAATTTTAAAGAATAATAGATGGATATTGCCTAGGTTTACATAGAAAAAATTTCTTAAGTCAATTATATACATAGAAATCTTTTAATTCTATGGAATAGGAAACTCAAAAGCTAAACCATGAATTGTTTATGATGCTGAGTGAATTGATGAACTAGGAAACATAACACACTAACATGAAACACGTGAATTGCATTTCCAATTAACTAGGAAACTCAAAAGCTAAACCATGAATTGTTATGATGCTGAGTGAATTGATGAACTAGGAAACATAACGCACTAACATGAAACACATGAATTGCATTTCAATTAACTCTAAATTTTAAATTTACATCACCAACGCTAGAAGTAATGTAGTATTATAATAGCTTTAATAGTTGTGGAGTGACATTTTTTTAATGATAATATGTTAAATCAAGGATCATCATTTTGCTTGTCTCCATTTGTAATTTTTTGATGAGGCATTTACCTAAATCTTTTTTATATATAGAAATAACACATAATATGTTCATTATTAGATATATTATTGTTTGTTACTTGCACATATCATAGTTTGATAGTGGTTTTGAAGTAAGTGTTTGGAACAGAGTGATATTTAGCAAATAAAAAGCATAAGCTTGGTGAGAAAAAAAATCAAGTGCATTGTACATGTAGAAAATCAATATTCCCTGAATAAGTCAACAAAATTTTGAACTAGTTATCGAAATACTTCGGATCTACAGTAGAGATTTTTATGTAATTATAATTTAGAATCAAGATTGCTTGTGTAGAGTATTTTAGGATATAGTTTAATAAGGTAATATCAAGACAACTTAAATTAAGAATATGAAAACTACAATTATAAGGGCTATTTTATAGGGATGTGAGTATTAGGAGACAGAATCATTAGAATGATGTATAATAAACTAGGAAGTTTAGGATGAGAAATATATATATTATAGGAAGGTGAATATTGTCGATTAAAGATGAGATTCTTTAAAAAAACAAAAATATTTGTGTGTTTAAGCATTTATAATAGGAGAGACAAGATGCTTTGATAAGGCCGATAAATAAGATATATGTAAAAGGAGTTTGTGAAAAAAAGACTAAATTATATTGTGCAATAAAAAATAATAATAAAAAAAATCTTAAAATAGTCGTTATTGTTTGTGCAAACTTGTTGTGAACAAACACCTTGAGCCTAATGATAAAATAACTAAATTATCTTTAGACAATGTATCGCAAATTACTTATATAGTTCCTTTCTTACAAGATCATATATAGGATTCAAGTCGTATGTGTATTTGAGGAGTGTAGCCCTTCACTTACAGGATCACAAATAGGTTTTGGGTGGGTCATGTGCATGTAAATCTGGAGTGTAGAAGAAATCCTTAAGGTTCATTGTTGTTTTTTGTATGTGTGTGTGTGACTAACACCTTGTTTTGGGTTGGGGGAGTAGGAGAGTGATGTGGTTGTCTGCGTGCTAGGTTTATGTGTGTATGTGAGATAGAGATGAGAAGGGCGAGTAATGTCTAGGAATTCAAATGGCTATATTGGATTATAGCTATATATTATTTGATTGAGAATGTATTTTCTTATCTAACAGTATTCGTACCTTTTGAATTAGTTGTCCATGTCTTTTAGGAAGAAGGGTAAGATTTGTGACGCGGGGCTAAGAAGGGACGAGTTGGTCGCAGGTCTAGCCTAGCTGGATCGGTCAGTCCTCTTGGAGGGGTGCCCCATTGCCCCCTCCTTCCTTCTCTTACCTTTCCTTCTTGTCCCTTCTTTTTTCTTTCCTTTCTTCCTCTCTCTATTTTTCTTCTTAGGCCCTTTTCTGATTTAAATCCTTTCCTAAAAGCTTAAATCCTGATTTTATTCTTCTTCCTTAATTTAAACATTTTCAAAAAATCTGAGATCTTGATTCTCCTTTCTTTATTTAGATGTTTCCTAAATTGGGTCAAGTCTCTTATAAATATGAGTTGATTTATGTGTCTAGAGTTAGGGATCTTGATTTTGAAATCTGATTTTAGTTTTATCTAAGTACTTTCCCTCATAAGGGCTGAATCCGATGATGAGGAAAGTGCTCCGGTCGTAACCCCATCTGAGGTGGTGTTTATCTTCACTTTTCTTCCTTGTCGCACCCCCTGTAGCTTCCCTATTGGTTGCTACTCTACCATTCAGGTGTCTCCTTCGCGGTCTCCTACAGGCCGCAACAATTTTCCTCCTTGCCGCACCCTCTACAGCTCTCTTGCACTCCACTATTCAGACGCTTCTACAACAGGTTCCCATAGGTCGCAGCACTGTTCCTTCCTAACGCCACCCTGCAGCTTCCCTACAAGCCGCTGGCTACGCTCCAACTTACAGGTTCCTCCTGGCACCCCTTATCTAGCAGATCGCATCATCCCATTGTTTCCTCAGGATCTCTCCTGCAGCTTCCCTGCAAGTCGCAGGGTCTCCATTCTTTTGTTTTAGCGGCTAAACGTGCCTCCGCTCCTCGGCTTCAGCCTCCATCCGTGCCTCTGCTCCTCAGCTTCGGATGCCATTCTTTCATCCATTTCTCGGCTTCGGCTGTCATTCTTGCCTTCATTCCTCAACTTCGACCACCACTCTTGACCCTGCTCCTCGATTTCGACCGCCATCCTTGCCGCCTTTGGATTCCTGCCTTCGGCGACGTTTCTCGTTTCTTCCGGTTGCGGTTTGACTCCTCGACAAGTGCTGACTTGCGGTCCTGCTCCTCCCGAGTTGCTCGACATGGCTCCAACCTTCACCGTAGCCGACGCTCCAACTCCATCTCTTTGGACTTCCTCCTCGGTTTTGACCGCCTTGCTCGTGCTTCCGCTCCATTGCTTCGGCCACCGTTCTTGCCTTTGTTCGTCGGCTTCGATCGTCACTCTTGCCTCCGCTTCTCAGCTTTCGCCATCCATGCCGCATCCAAATTCCACAGCCTTCGACGACATTCCTGCCTCCTCCGGCCTCCTGCTTCTTCCGGCTGCAGCTTGACGCCTCGACGAGTGCTGACTTGCTACCCCGTTCCTCCCTAGTCACTTGACATCGCTCTATCCTTCACCGCAGCCGCCGCTTCAGCCCTATCTCTCCAGACTCCCTCCTCTTCTAGCTCGTTTTGTCTTTGTTTGTAATGCTATATTTTATGTTCTGATTTACTTGAAGATTTTTTCTTTTGAGTCATTATTGCAACCGTCCTTTTAAGTTATTAATAAATTTGTATCTTACGTCGTGGTTTAGGTTAACTTCAGTATCAATCTGGCATCCCAATAGCTATACAATTTGGATTTTTTGGATGAAAATGTGATTTCTCATCTAATGATATTCATATTCTTTAAGTTTGTTGTCACTACATCTATAAAAATTTCTATATTTCATGTTAACAACGATTTCTTTAAGGAGGAATGGTAATTTAATGCATCCGAACAGCTATAAGAATTTTATTGTTTGGATGAGAATGTAATTTCCTATCAAATATTTTCCATCTACAAAGTTTTCTATCTTTTCCATTATTAACAACTTGCCTTTTTTTTTAAAGGTTCTTGTGTTGCAAATGATTACTTCAGCTCGAGATCCTGGTATTATTCCCCGAGCATCCCATCCTCCAGAGGAAGAATTCTCCTATGATGCTGCATCTAGGATTGATTCCACAGGAAGGCATACTCCAAGCCTACAGTTTCCTCGTACAAAAGAGGTGATGGTTAATGGCATGCCTGTGAAAGTCAAATATTGTGATACTTGCATGCTCTATCGGCCTCCACGTTGCTCACATTGTTCAATCTGCAATAATTGTGTGGAGCGTTTCGATCATCACTGCCCTTGGGTTGGGCAATGCATTGGATTGGTACTTTTCTTAGACTTCCTTTTACAGTTCTAATAGCCAAAATATGCTATACTATATTCATATGAGTAGTAGTGTCATTCTACCGTTGTAGTGTGCTTGGTTGACATATTTACCCCTCTGGTCTGTGTTTTTCCATGTTACCAACTTTCTGCTATATAAATTGTTTTTGGTTTACGGTTTGCTTTTGACAAATGGTGGAAAAAAAAAATTTCGCTAGTATTAGATGACAATTCTATTGTCTTTGGCGTGACTGATCTTGTCTAATGTGACTTCAAGCAGACTGCTGATGAGCTGTATAATAACCTCATTTACTTCCATATTCTTCAATGTGATTAGGAGTGTGGACATAAAAGTTTGATTGGAATGGATTACACCCATCTTTGCAATTTTTGTATATCCTATTTCTCAGTTCACCTCCGCCCCTCCTCTCCTTTTTCAACCAGAAACTTTTATGAGAGTATTAGTAATATTCTGTGTTTTGTTGGAGTTAACTGAACCAAGTATTTGCTTGCCTGATGCTATATTTTGACCTCGTAATATTTCATACTATTGTTTCTGCTGTGTTGTTCATTTCCAACTTGGGCATTTTTTTTTGCATGTTGATCAAGTTTATCATAGCTGTTAAATATGCCTAATTATGAAATGACTTTATTTTTGCAGAGAAACTACCGCTATTTTTTCCTTTTTGTCTCTTCATCAGCTCTTCTCTGCATCTATGTATTTGCAATGTGTGCATTGTACATTAAGTTTCTCATGGACGGGGACTATCCGACAGTATGGAAGGCAATGGAGCACTCACCAGCGTCAGTGGTTCTTATGATATACTGCTTTATTTCTTTGTGGTTTGTCGGAGGTCTTACTGGATTTCATTTGTACCTCATTAGCACCAACCAAGTGAGTCATAATTTCTCCGCCCAGCTCTATCAGTACATAGATGCCTCGGTCTCTCTCTGTTTTGTACATTTTCCAGAAGTTTCTGAATGTGAAATTTGATTGAGATAGAAAAAGTATAGTTTGTTCAGTTCCTAAAACACCTATATTTGTCATTAGTTCTGTATTTCTGAAAACCTGGCTGTGTTGATACGTTTGAGGCATTGCTTGCTATTTATTATTTTATGTCAACATAACGTGGTATAAGGAAGCATCCGCATACTACTTTAACTGCTTTGAAAACGCAAATTAGCAACATTAGAAATGCTAGATCAAATCAGTTTCCAGACGCACTGTCTGCATTCTTCTTTTCATCGCTGGTTGTTTTATTCATTTTAGCTGGAAACCATTTGATTAAAAAGAGGTTGAATTAATATTTGGTGTGACTTCATATTTATTTGAACAAATGGTTTTGGAAAGAAATCTAAATCTTGTTTAGAAATATTTGATGAATTGACTTCATATTATGACAACCAAGTAGCAATAGCCCAGTAAGTGCGTTGAAGGAGCTTAAGGAAACCTTTCGTGGGTTATTTGGAAGCAGGAGAACTTCCCCAAAAAAAGTTAATTTCTATGCTATAAGAAGGTCTAGTATTTGGTTTGATTTGTTCAACTAGGTTTGTGGTGTGTTAAACCTGGAGGCTCAAGAAATCCTTTTGAGGTTTCTAATGAATTAGGTGTGACATATCAAGAAGATCCCAAGGCAGAAAAGATTTAAAAAAAAAGATGCTCTATTTTTAGCAAATAGTGAGATTTGACTGCACCGGACTTGCTAACACTCTTCTGTTCATTCTGTATGCAATTATAATCACCTGATATTCTGTCACAACTCTGAGATTCTCTGCAACCCTTGCAAATCTCTCGTTCAACTAAAAGGTGAGATTTCAGGCTCTTGCTTTCTAACATACTACAAGACATGTAAACAGAAGCATATCTGATCCCTTTGACAATTCAGCTCGCCTTGGCTACTAAAAATTTAGGCATGCTTGAATAGTTTTTCAATGGCTCATCATCATCATTACATTTCCTATATATTTCTTTTTAGTGTTATGAATCAACATTCATTTCTATTAAGTGTTGCATGAGTTCTCATTTTTGTGCTGCGCAAATTGCTTTGCACAACTTGTGTCATGCTAACAACATTAGTTCTTTCTCCTTCCTAAATTTTTTGCTTTAATCCTATCTACATTGGTTTATCTTCTATTTTATATTGTACATTTTCAAACAACTCTTGCATTGCTGTCACTATCTTTCTAATCTAACTTTTCTCAATCTATCACTTGTAGTCAGTAAACGGATAGATCTACAATTATATCTTTTTTTGGAGTTGCATGTCATCTTTTTTTTTTTTTTAACTTCTTTTTACTTGTTTTAAGTCATTCGTGAGCTGAGTCTTTTCAATTTCTATGTTTTGAACTGACAAGCTTCTTAAGCTGGTGAAGTTCAATTTAAGGGGTTCAAAATGATAAAGCCACATCAAAATTAAATTGTCATCATTTTGGCTCTGTTATGCTTGTATTGATTTGTTTATGCTTTATTGAATTAAATCCAGCGTAGATGTGAATGATTCGACAAAGCACTACAATAAATTGCTGAATTTTAAACTTCTGCCATCAAGTGATCTAAGGGTTTTGTAAACAAAACTGAGCTTTTGTCAAAAGAATTGTTTTAATTCCAAGACAGAATCACATTTAGGATTGATTAATGGAATTCCCTACTTTGATTTATGATTGCAAAGTAATGCTTTAAAATATGTGCTAATTAACTAGTGCATGAATGCATTTCTGGTTGGAGGTGCTATAACTTCTATTTTCTTGATTCAACTCCTTAAACAAGTGCGAATTTGGAGAATTCTGTGAGATTTCATCCACTTGCACAGATGAGAGGCTTCCTTTTTCTTTGGTGAATTATTTTATTTATTCTTCTTTCTTCTTCCATATTGTGTTTTTTTTTTTCTAAATTAAAATTGATTGTAATCAAATTTGACACAATCTAATTCTTAACTTGTGCATGAGCTTCAAAGCATTTATGTGTATTTCATGAACCTGAATTTATAATAATTATTTATTGCATTAGGCTGTCATTTTTTTTTGGTCCAAGCTTATATTTGCTGTGCTTTCGATTGTCATCAAAGTTGATGAATATGTGTTTATTAAGAGTTTGTGGCTTCCATGCTTCTTGCTTGATTTTATGCATCTCAAATTAGATCATCAAAATTTTTAAATCCTAAGATGTCTTACATTAGATTCGGTATCAAAGATGAAGATTATATCTTCATGTCTTCTAGTCATAGTATATCATATCAAGCCAATCAACAAGAAGAACAAAAAAGGTTATGATTCTTGGTAAATTAAATATAATTATTATGGAATTAATAGCTTTTCTATTACATTCTATGAGAAGCATAATCTTAGGATATTGTCAAATTGGATGGATGACTTTGAAAGATACAATATTTTGTTTTTTCTGATATGTTTTTATTTGTTTAAAAATTTGGACTTGCTTGAATATTTTGGAAATTTGCAGCTGCTAAAATAAAATATACTTGGGTTGATATGAACTAAAACTTAAGAGATTTATGAACTTTGAACTAGACATTTATAATGCGTCTGCCCGTGTTCTTAAGTTTGAAACCCTTTGTTTTATCTTCGTAGAGATTATTATATTAGATTGCTAAATAGAATTTATGTCTTTGCAAATGAGCGGCTTTCTTCATTATGGTAAATCCTTTCTTTGTTCTTCTTTTATATTTTATTATTGTTTTGCATGTTTGTTTTAATTTAATTAAATTTGATACACTTTTATTTTTGTCCAACTATTTTTCAACTCATTTATTTCAATTGATGTTAATGAATAACCATTAAAGATTGAGCTTGCAATCTATAGATTGTGTATTTATTGCTTGATTTTTTGCGTCTCATATTAGATCTGTGTTAGAAACCTTAGATTGTAAGATATCCTATATCAGGTCCACATTGTGCTTAAACATGAAGAATGAATTGTGATATCTAAGTACTCTACCTGATATTGTTTGACTTGGGGCTAGAGTATTCTAAATGCAATTGATATTATACATAGAAAGAATTCATACAATGAAGTTGAGGATTCACAATTCACAAGCCACCCATTAGTTCAAGAACGAACTTTCTTCAATAATGCAAGAGCACAAATCAAGTCAGTATCAATTATTTGGATAAGATATGAACAATGAGCAAAATTACCAAAGTAAGAAATTAGAACTGGTAAATGGAGATGACTTCCCCAAAAATTAAGTAGTCTCATTTGTATCACATTCGAAGGTATCATACATCCATCTCCTTGATAATTGAAAAAAAATTAGTCTAAATATTTTTTTTTTTATTTCTTAGAACATCTATTTATGGACTCCTCATCCCCTAGACTAATATATAAAAAGGTATATCCAGTAGACTAATATATAAACAGCTATCACATAGGAGATAAGTTGAGAAGTTTATTATGTCGGTGTCTAAGGGTCAATTTAGTCTTTTATTAGCCTATAGGCAATTGAGTCTTTTATTATTTATTATTTTTTAGTTTAAATAAATCATAATTGGTTTAGGGTTAGGTATACATGAGATTGTTGTTGTGAGTCTTAAGTTTAAGATTTGAGAGACATTTCCTACCACTTGAATTGTAGATGCTTATCCTTGTATTCATCTTTTGTGTTTGATAGCACTTGATACAATTCTTGGCAGAAATTAGGTCGAATAATATTTTAATAGAAGAACATCAGAGCATTCGCTGTGGAATGATTGCGGCATATAGGGTCTACGTCGCATACAGTGATGATTCGACCTAGTTGGGAAGCAAAAGAAGGGATTTTGGCGTGCAGGTCTACGCCACGTTGCGAAACAATAGCGATTGGAACTAGCACGTTTGTGCGTTCGACCTGCGAAGAAGCCGACAGGATCGCGTGAAGCAAGCAACATAAGACCTAACGCTACAATTATAAGTGTGGGATCGTGGCACGCGACGCTCCTTCGTGACCAGACCTCGCGCTTGTAGTTGTATTTCTAACTATTTTCCATTTGAGATCAAACTGCGTGATACAATTCCGATTTGATTTAGTTGGGAGACCAAGGAAGGATTGTGGCTTTCATCTCCCTATACAGTCAAGATTCTGGCGATTCTGGGAGTGAAAAAAGGATATCGCAGCTTACGACCTCACATTACAGACGTGATTTAGACTATTGAGAAACCATCTATGACAATTCAACGTATGGATGTTTCCATCTTTTGTGATAAAAAAATTTCTCGGGTAGTAATGACGACCAAGAAAATAGAGATTTTGGAGCAGAAATTAGAGAAAGATGGGAGCTTAATCAGATATGAAAATAGATGAGCATTTCTTATCCCAGAAGCAATGGGTTTCATCAATGGAGGGGTAGTTCGAGAGGAGATTCACGGTTATGGAAGAAAGAATGAAGAAGATTATCGAGGTTCACATAAAACCGGCTACGCCCACCATGAGATCAAGCAACGGCTTCAAGAACAAACACGAGCAACAACAACCATAAGCATTCACCCGATATTAGAGCAACGTCGTTGTTTTAGGTGTATCAGAAGTTGCAGTATCGAACAAACTAATCGGGAGCATATTCGAGCAACAACCTCAGGGGGAATGGCATGACATCTTGAGGTTTGGGATGAGTGACATTAGACAGATCAGAACAACATGTGATTCGGGGCTAGAGAAGATTGTTTTGAAGCATTTTGACTTAGGATTGGGAATCACTGTGGGTGGGACCACGACAGAGGGCTGCATCCTACAGTTCCAGTGCCTTTTGTTGCAGAAGTCTTACGAGCAGAAGTCGGTTCAGAAATAATGATTGGAATGAGACAGATGGAGAAAAGTGGGGTAGTTTGTAAGTGATTGATTTAGATACTGCAGAATATTTAGGAGACAGACAATATGGTGGTGCTCGGCAGTGACCTTAATTTGTGCAAGGCATTGTTGAAGACTATGATGAGGGTGAAATACCAGATCAGGTTACATATCATTGAAGACACATGATACGGAGTTGGTAGAGTTTCCGTAGATTGATAAGGTATCGGATGAGTTGTTTGGGGTGATGATATTCTCCCGGATTGACTTGAAGTCAGGGTGCCATCAGATTCGGATGCAATCGAAGGATGTGCACAAGACAACATTTCGAGAAGGTGAGGGCCATTACAAGTTTCTGATTAAATGAAAATGATGACGTCACGTGGGAGCCATATGACCTGATCCAACAACCATTTTTTCACCTCGAGGATAAGGTATATTTTTGGGAGGGGAGTTTTGTTACGTCGGTGCCTAAGGGGCAAATTAGTTTTTTATTAGCCAAGGGCAATTGAGTCTTTTATTATTTATTATTATTTAGTATAAAATAGATCCTAATAGGTTTAGGGGTATGCATGAGATTATTGTTGTGAGTCTTAGGTTTAGGGTTTGGGAGAGATTTCCTACCTCTCGAATTATAGGAATTGAGAGAGATCACCCTACCTCCTGAATTATAGGTGCTTATCTTTATATTCATATTTAATGTTTGATGTTCTTGAAATAAAATATTATATGTCCTAATTTCTGTCAAAATCACCTCCCTATCCTGCCTGCAACCTCTAAAAAAAAATAAAATAAAATAAAAAGAGAAGACCTCCCAACTAAATATGAATAAAAGCCAAGCACCACCTCCTAACTATACAATAACCCAGCAACTCTTTTTAAGAGCTACGGAGAGTGAAACTCTATGCTATGCTTAACAAAATGAGATGTTGAAGGAAAGGAAATGTGTGCTTTTTGGTTATTATTATTCTTAATTCCAACTTAGCATTGTGGTTCATAACTTTGGAATTCTCAGTACTGTTCTGTTATTTTTTCATATTTTTCGCTTTCATTAAATTCTCAAATTAGTCATGAAATGCTCAAATATGCAAATTTACCAGTTCATTTATTTTATTTCTGTAAATATGTAAGTTTTGTGTGGTGTGTGTAAACATCCCAAAATGGTTTTCTTCTAAAGATAAACACACCTGAAATGTAAACTTACCCTTTAAGTATCATATTTTATGGTTTTGGTTGAAGCGTGAAGACAGTCCTGATAAAATGTAGACTTGAAATATTGATAGCTGAAGGAAGGTTGTTTTCCTGAGTAGGTCTCTCAAAACAATAGCTTATATTTGGTTTTATGAGCTATTATAAACAATAACAACAACAAAACCTTTATCCCACTAAGTGGGGTTGGCTACATGAATCATTTTTCTCCAGTATGATCAAAAGGATTCATGTCATGATTTTTTCGACAAGTTTTACGGTGGCTGTAGACTAACAAACGCAACCCTCCATTTTTCACATCCGGGCTTGGGACCGGCAATGAGAGTGTTAATGTGTGTATAAATATCAAGGTGCTATACAAATTATTTTCGTAGCTATTATAAATAATTTTAAATTGTATAGGTTTATGACATCAAGATGTTATAAGTAGAAATATCAAACTTTGGATATTAGAAATGTAAATATATTAGAATTGTGTCGGCTGTATTTTTATGTGTTTCACATCTTACCAATAAATGATATCACCTCATCATGATCTTTATATGCTGGAATGGATTATGGTTTCACAGTGTCTTGTAATGTGTGTTATTTTTGATTGTTTCCTTATTATTTGCCAAGCTTCAAACCCTTTCTTCTTAAGTTGCGAATATTCATTCATTTCATCTTGTGCTTCAGACCACATACGAGAATTTCCGCTACAGAACCGATCGTCGGCGCAATGTCTACGATCGGGGTTGCCTGAACAACTTCATGGAGGTGTTCTGCACCAAAATAAAGCCCTCGAGGAATGACTTCCGCGCCTTGGTGCAAGAAGAAGCCCCAAGGCCGGCTCAGAATGTTCGCCCCGGAGAGCCCGAAGACGATTTAGGGAGCTACCACCGTTCGAAGGTAGAAGATGACCTCGACATTGGCGGGGATCTGCTGAAGATCTCCCAGCGGCGCAGCATCGAGGAGTTCGACGAAGAAATCGGCCGTAGAAACGACAGCGGGAGGCCCGGAACCGTTTCGGAGGCCGAATTCGCATCGGATTTGGAGAAGCAGGTCCCGATTACTGGAACTGAGATTCCCATAACAAGAACTGATGCGAGGAATTCAAGCTGGGGGAGGAGAAGCAGCAACTGGGAGATATCACCTGAAATCTTCACGAAGAACTCTTCTGCTGCTGCGGGAAGCGGGAGTTTGATGACGGAGAAAGAGAGGTTAGTAGGAGAAAGAAAAGATTGAATTGCTGAATAGAAGCAAGTGGCTTTATGTTCTTAGCAAGGAGAATTGATTCCGGAGCCATGATTAGATTGATTGTATTGCTCCTGATCTATTGTTTCATTTTTATTATCTTTTTTTTTTCTTTTATTTTAATGTTGAATGATTCTTTTTTGTGAATTAGGAAACGTGGATCTCCAAGACAAATGTGTAGCTTATTATTTTTGGCCCCCATCACATTATTTATGTGCTTACAGCTTGTTTCAGTACTTCTGCTAACTTTCATAATGATATATATGTTGTAATGGCTTGTTTTTTCTGGTTGTAGCCTTTGGATGAGACTTGGTTATAAGCGGTAGGGGTGTAAAAGAACCGAACAGTGTTCTTGTTCGATTTGAATTTTAATTTGTTTGAAATAAATTTGTGTTCAAAATTATTCGTGAAGTTATTGTTCGTGTTCGTTTCTTAACGAACGAGCCAAAATGAGTTGTTCGCGAATGACGAGCCAATTTGACATCCCTAATGTTAATCTAATATATCATTATTATTAATTTATTACATATTATAATTTATAAAATTTAATTTTTTAAAATATCATAATTTTTTTATATATAATTATTTTAAATAAACAATAATAATTTGAACACCAACGAACGCATCACTGTTTGTGTTTGATTCGTTTAACTGACCGAACGAAAAAAAAATTGTTCACGTTCGTCTCTTTCAGTTATGGAATGAATCGAACACGAATTCATTGACAAACCGAACACGAACTGTCCGCGAACAACGAGCTTTTTTGACCACATCACTGTTCGTGTTTGATTCGTTTAACTAACCGAATGAAAAAAATTTGTTCACGTTCGTCTCGTTTAGTTATCGAATGAATCGAACACGAATTCATTGACGAACCGAACGCGAACTGTCCGCGAACAAGGAGCTTTTTTGACCGCCCTAATAAGTGGTGGATGGATATGTGTCCAGACATACATGTAATGCCAGATCAAAATGGTTGTGAGTAGTGTTCCTCATGTGTCCAGCTTTTGTCATTTTTCTCAATTAAAACATAATTTTTTTTTAATGACGTGTACCCGTAAAAGAGATATTTATATTTTATAAACAGTAAGAAAATGTATAATAAAATATTTAATTTAGATAATTTATGTAATATGAAAGATTTGATGTTCAAAAAATTTTGTTTTTGGCCTTGTTGTTTAATTTAGGAATGATATAATAATAATTTATATTTTTTCATTCTAAAATATCATTATTTGTTCATATTTATAATGTTAGGAATTTTATATTTATTTTATTATTATATTGCATGCTGGAAATTCACGGCGGTAGAGTTGTAATTTAATGTTATGGTGGTACACCAAGATTCAACACAAATAAAAGAAAATTAACGAGAGGAGAGTACCAATTTTTTTTTGTGGAAGAATTCTATAAAGAAAAAAATAATGGAGTTTGGTTTTGTTAAAGTAATTCGCTATGTAATTATACATATATAGGTACACTTTATACATGAATATTGGTTGGCTCAAGTTTGGCTTGGGCCGGACTCTTTCGATTTGGGCTTGTTCAATGCGGTCTTGGGTTGGCCTTGGGTCGGGCTTCAAGTCATATTTTGTTTATAATTTCATAGTCAGGTTCGCCCAATAAATGGATCGGACAAGCCTATGGGCCGCTCTTGTGCCTTGAAAGAAAAGTGATTTTTCATACCAAAATGTATTCTCATTTCCCTTAATCAGAAAAAAATTTAAGTCAAGATAACTTTGCTTGGATTTAACTTGAATCAATCAATGCATATCTAAATTATTACTTATTTAAAAAGTGAATACAAGTTTAAATTTTTAACTAATTGCTTATGTATTATTACTATATTTTAAAAATAAATAATTAATAAACTCTTTAACATTTTTTTCTCTAATTATATCGTTGATTTAAAATATTAAAAAAATATATATAATGTGAATGGTTTGCGACTTGAGAATGCACTTTTTGGGATTTCAAACTCTTGGAAACTCCAAGAACGTCCAGAGGTCATAGATAGGAGTAGGAGATATAGATTTTTACCTTTTTCTGGAGAGATTGGTGAGGGACTTTGAGAGATATGTGTAAGAAATTGTACGAGCATTGCGTGGATCGACAGAAGATTTTGTTGAAGGGATTTTTATCTTTCTTTCAGAGAAAAAAAGGTTAAGTACTGTGTTCTTCATTATCTTATAATTATTATAAACACTTTCTAGTGTATTTGTTTTGATTTAATGAAGTTTTCTGTTGTGTTTTATCCCTACTTCGCGATATGGTTTTCCTTACTCTTTTCTTTTGTTTTGAAGTAGTAACATGAGTAGGAAAATTTGTTTTATGATAGAATAATTTTTATTTCCATGTGATGAGTAATATATCTTTTATTTCATTGACATAACTTAAGTGACAATGTGTTATGTTAAAATCTATTGTAAGTGAATCTGAGACTTACGAGAGCGGTGATCTCGCAACTTAAGTCCACTCATATTGTTTGGTTGGCTATGGTGAAGTAGTTTAGGCGGCAATGCAACTTTTAAGGAAATTTAATTCTTGATATGTTTCTATTAGGAGCTTCTAGGTAACAGCTAGTTGTGTAAAACTAATAGAATACTAAGCGTAACTATACACTCGGAAGCAGGCATGTAGACATATGTTCCTTGTTGGCACATAATGTATTACATAAATTTATCAATTTTTTTACTGCTTATGTCATTTTCTACATTTTACTTTTCTTTTGTAATAAAATGGATGTATGTTTAGGAATTTATATTTGCTTAAAAATTCTCTTTTTTATTAATGTGGTGGTATTTTCACAGGCTCTTAATTTACTTTGCAAACTGGTCATTTGTAATGTTAAAATCCATTGTGAAACATAAGGGCACGGGAGGGCTATGATTTCACCATCAACTTTGGAAAGAGCTATGATGATCGTCCAATGGGGAGCGTAAATAGATAGTGAGATAAGTTTTTATGAGCGTAGAATTTGTGATTTGAGAGTGACATGCTAAAACCGTAACCAATTTGGTCTTTAGCTCGGAACCTAAGGTCTGGTTAGTCATGTCTCTAAGTGCAAAGTCACTCATCCACCTTAACATATGTCTAAACTTACTTTTATGCTTCTTTTATGGCTTATATTCTGCAACATGAAGCATTGTAGGCCTCACCACCGTCTTATAAAATTTATATTCAAGTCTAAGTGGTACTTTTCTATCACACAATAAGCCTTATGCATTCCTTCACTTCAACCATCAATTTTACTAATAACATCCCCATCTATATCACCATCGTTTTCAACAATAGACCCGATATATCTAAAATGTTCATTGCTTTTAATGACTCAATCTCATCTATTGCTATAACTCCACCACTAGATCCACAACTACTTAAATTTCACTTAATGTACTTATTTTTAAATCTACTCAAATGAAAGTCTTTAACTCTATGTTTGACCTTCTTTATTTAAGTTTTTCTTGAACTCTCTCTAGTGTTATCCACAAGTATGATATCATCAGCAAAAAGCATACACCAAGGTACATCCTCTTGTAAATGATTGATAAGAGCAATCATAATTAAAGCAAAAAATTAGCTAGGAACTTACACTTAAATCCAATCCCTAAATTACTTACCCTAAATTAGGTATAAAAATGATTAAAGTAAGATACATACCTTCCTCAATGCATTCTGGTTAGAGCGGAGCAGGAGGAAGAGAACTACATGAGTTTTAGCAATCTCTGTAAGTAGGCCACGTACGTTACCTTGCCAGCTAGCTCTAAGGGAGACTGTATTGCGAGGACTTCAGCAAACCCTGTGGGAGAGGGAAAGAAGAGAGGGAAGGGGAGAAGAGAAACTGTGCGTGAGGCTTTTGGGCAGAAGGGGAGATGAGGGGGAGGGGGAGATAAGCGGAGAGAAAATGAAATTTAGGCGCGCAAGATGAGTAAATTAGGTCATTTGCGTCAAACTTCTATCTAATTTACGTTAAACTTGTTCAATGCTAACAAGTAAAGTATTTGCAATCTTTTTTTTGACGCAAACTCTGTTGCAAATCCAAAGATAAATTTCTTCGTTTTCGGAACACTTATACTGACGAATTTTCTAACGTAAATCAGATGCTAATTCCGACGCAAATATCATAATTTATTTTTTGCCACTCATCTTACGCTAATCTGACACTAACATTTGAGTCGGAAATATAGGATAAATGCTAATTTCTGCTCCTCCTATAGTGTGTCTTATATGTTATCTCATATGTCTTTTGATAATTTGATCGGAACTATTGACATCGTTTTTGATCGACACTATCGTCTTCACCATTCCCCCATCTAGGCTCAGGTTCATTCTTAGTGCCCCTAGGTGATTGATCTTTGCGTGGCTTCGGGCTTGAATTAACTTTGATGGGTTTGGGCTTGGTTTAAATTAAAATTAAAATTAAATTTAAGTCAAATTTTGATCTAATTTAATTAAAAATTAATTAAAACTTAAATTTGAACCAAATTTAACCTAAATCCATCTTAATTAAAAATTTAAACTTTAAAATTTTGTCCCTTGAAATTAACATAAAGTAAAAATTAAAAAAAAAAATTAATCTTAAACAAAACACAAATTTAAATTAACCTAAAATTACAAATATTAACACAAAGCTACACCAACAATTAAATTAAACTTCTACTTAAACTAAATTTTAATTTAATTAAAATTGAATCTAAAATTCAGTTAAACAAAACAAACAAACATAATTAAAATCTAAAAATTAAACAAATTAACTTTAAACCTAAACCTTAAATCATAACCTAACATTAATATTAAATCTAAAATTAAAAGTAAATTGAAAAGCCAATTGAATCTAAAACAATAATTGAAATTTAAATGAACAATTCATAAAACTAAGAAAAATTTACATAAAAACCACTTTCTTATACAGGTACAAATAAATATGATTTGGGTGGTATCCATGTAAATACCCCTAAAGTTAAAACTAATGAGCTCTTAATTTAAATTAAATTGACTAAACATAATTAAGTTTATCAAACCTTAATTAATTTAAGAAGTTAATCAATCTAAATTTAAATCAAAATTAAAATTAAAGCAAACACAATCAACTTTAATTAGAACAAAATTAGCCAAATTCAAACCAACTTAAGCTCATCAAATCCGTCATTTGGATGCCTTAACTCCACAATTAATATCCACCCTTTAATCTTAATCGAAGGGAGGGTTATAGTTATAAAGGCCAATGCAAACCTTTGATATCATATGAAGAAAGATTCTGGTTTCCCTCGAGTTGAAATCCATTGAAGAGCGCTCCTATGTCATATGAGTTGTGAGCCACGTAGACGATAGTTGCTTTGTAGGCTATGGCAGGAGTTGCAACGTACATGGGTACGTTGTTATACCGCCTTCAGGTTGTGTCGTCATATTGTCTTGTGTTTCATTACTTTGCAACGTATACTGGAATTTCACGGCGTATGTCGACTTCGCGTGGAGCTTGGCTGCAATGAGTGGAGGGCGGCTGAAGCTGGTCGAAGAATCTGTCTAAATTGGGAAGTTACGTGGGTTGGGGGGCGGGGGCAAAGCCCCGCGGTATGGTACAGGGGTAATGTTGTAATTACATATTGTGCCTAGTTTACTCCTGGGGTTATAAATAGGCCTGTTAGTAACCCCAGGAGGTACCCTCTATTCTGTAAACTCTTTTCTGAATATTGAAAGGAACTCGCCGCTCTGCTCCCGAGGACGTAGGCATCTTCGCCGAACCTCGTTAAATCTCTGTGTTCTTCTGGATTTGTGTCGATTACTGTTTTTCTTCGCCCTAATTTTCTCAACATTAACTTTGATGGGTTTGGGCTTGGTTTAAATTAAAATTAAAATTAAATTTAAGTCAAATTTTGATCTAATTTAATTAAAAATTAATTAAAACTTAAATTTGAACCAAATTTAACCTAAATCCATCTTAATTAAAAATTTAAACTTTAAAATTTTGTCCCTTGAAATTAACATAAAGTAAAAATTAAAAAAAAAATTTAATCTTAAACAAAACACAAATTTAAATTAACCTAAAATTACAAATATTAACACAAAGCTACACCAACAATTAAATTAAACTTCTACTTAAACTAAATTTTAATTTAATTAAAATTGAATCTAAAATTCAGTTAAACAAAACAAACAAACATAATTAAAATCTAAAAATTAAACAAATTAACTTTAAACCTAAACCTTAAATCATATCCTAACATTAATATTAAATCTAAAATTAAAAGTAAATTGAAAAGCCAATTGAATCTAAAACAATAATTGAAATTTAAATGAACAATTCATAAAACTAAGAAAAATTTACATAAAAACCACTTTCTTATACAGGTACAAATAAATATGATTTGGGTGGTATCCATGTAAATACCCCTAAAGTTAAAACTAATGAGCTCTTAATTTAAATTAAATTGACTAAACATAATTAAGTTTATCAAACCTTAATTAATTTAAGAAGTTAATCAATCTAAATTTAAATCAAAATTAAAATTAAAGCAAACACAATCAACTTTAATTAGAACAAAATTAGCCAAATTCAAACCAACTTAAGCTCATCAAATCCGTCATTTGGATGCCTTAACTCCACAATTAATATCCACCCTTTAATCTTAATCGAAGGGAGGGTTATAGTTATAAAGGCCAATGCAAACCTTTGATATCATATGAAGAAAGATTCTGGTTTCCCTCGAGTTGAAATCCATTGAAGAGCGCTCCTATGTCATATGAGTTGTGAGCCACGTAGACGATAGTTGCTTTGTAGGCTATGGCAGGAGTTGCAACGTACATGGGTACGTTGTTATACCGCCTTCAGGTTGTGTCGTCATATTGTCTTGTGTTTCATTACTTTGCAACGTATACTGGAATTTCACGGCGTATGTCGACTTCGCGTGGAGCTTGGCTGCAATGAGTGGAGGGCGGCTGAAGCTGGTCGATGATGGTCGAAAGGTGTTGGTTAGCGATTGTAGGAGTGGGAGGTATTCAGCGAATCTTTAGTGGAAAAACAATGGTTGGCTTCAACACTTTCTTCTCCAAGCTCCGATCAACTTTTGACTCAATGTCGAGATCCAGGTCCTCTCTCAATGAAGGGTTAGAGCTCTATTTATAAAGTCTAAAGGAGTATTCACTGTTGATAAGGAAGGAATCATGACTTCTCCATCGAACAACCCAGAGAAGTTCCCTTAATCAGACATTGTTTTATGAATATTTGAGTGTCTTAATCATGACCACTATATATACTTGATTTGATTATAAGCTTGTCATATTTAGAATTCATTTGAAATAGACATTGAGAACTTAAAAAATGGCTTAACTATTAGATTTGGGGTTTAATTGACGTGAACCAACTTTAGTATTATTATATTCTTCGCATTGAGCCGATCAATTTGATTGTAAGTTTGCTAAAATCAGAATTATGAATGATATTTAATTGAGGTTGGAGCGTTCTTTGCTAAAAAATTACCTTGAGATTCGTGTCACGTCTCGAGATTCATGTCAAATATTAAAATTTTGTTGATCGAGCATCATTTCTATTTTTCAAACTTAAAGAGCTTAAATTTTATCTAGTAATAAATTGTAATCTTTAATTTCAAAATGGAAATATTTTTTTTTCAAAAAGAAAAGCTAGCAATATAAACCTTTACATACAAAAAAAAAAAAA